TGGGGGGGGGGGAGGACGGACGGACAGACGGGACTCATCATCGGCACCATCTCCCTAAACCCAACACCCCCTGTGAGCTGAGGACTAGGAACATTCTCCACATGAGGAGAACTGGCTCAGGAAAGTCAAATAATTGCCTCGGATCCTGTACTCAGTAACTGAAGCGCTGGGGTTTGACGCCACAATCTCCCCTTACCCACACTGTCACTCCTCCACAGAAGGAAATTACAATGCGAGCACACAACTAACCCACCTGACTCGGCAAGAGGACACAGGACTCTGGAGCAGGGATGAGAGCAGCAGACTGGGACAAGGGAACAGGATCAAGGGGGGTTGGGGAACAACCTTGGAAATGAACCTGGAGTTCTGAAGACATTTTCCAAGACAACGAAAAAAAGGACAGAGAAGGCAGTGAATCAGAACAGGAAACAAAATTACCTTAGCTGTTACCAAATACTATGAAGGAGAATGTAAACAATATGTTGTGTAAGTTGTTTTAAAGGCAAAGATAACCAACCCTTCTCTAGACCATTCCACGAGTCCAACTATTTGCAGAGTTGAGAAAAGAAAAAAGCCGTAACACCAAAGCTATACCACAACAGGTTCTCATGGCAGTCAGAAGGCAACAGTACCCACTTCTAAAGGAAAATAGCCAGGACACAAAGATCAGGGGTGAAATGAGACTAGAATTCACAGAAGAAAACACACACACACACACACACACACACACACACACACACACATTTATTCCTGCTGAGAAAAAATGGCAAAGTTGTTGAAATGGCAATTGTTGAAAATGATACTTTCAACAGTTATAACATTCATAAAATAAGATTCTTAATTCAAAGACTTAAAGAAGGGGGGGGGATAAAGGGATAGAACAACTTAACACTAATCAATAAAAAAAAGTAAATAGTTAAAAAAAAAAGATTCTTAATTGCAAATCACTGAAGGAAAAAAGGGAACAGAAAAACAGTAAGACAAAAAAACTACTTTGTATTAATATAGCCAAGCATTTCAGTCACAACCATTAATCTCAAATAGTTAAACCTTTCAAAAGATACATTTAAAATTACAACGGAAGGATCCAAAATTTACAAAAACAGGTGTGAAAAGATCAATTCACCTGGTAAACTAAACCCCCTGTGGCCATATTGTCAAGCAAAGCAAAATATAAAGGCTGTTTTATGTTGATAAAAAGCACAATATATGTCTCAAAACTGGCCTGACCTACTTGCTCATTAACAGCCACAAAATAATAGTGCCCCAAAAAAGTAAAATACAAGGAGAAATTGATATGAAAAAGTATAGTCAATTTTTATCTACCTACTTACAGGCTGTTGAATCACCTGGTCAAAAAACAAGGCCTTTAACAAAATGAAATTAAAAACACAAATACTAACCCTTAAAAAGTCACTATTTCAAAAATCAAAATACTTGCAAAAAAAAGAAACACTGGTTAAACTATCTGATTAACTATAATTAACACAAATAAATAAAATTAAAGCAGGAATTAACATGTTTAAGCACAACCTAAAATAATATATAGGTCAAACGTACGTACAGATAAAATAAACAACACATTTGGGGACAGCCAAAACTACAATCAAAGGTAAATTTGTAGTCTTAAAAATATCCTTTACCTTAGAAAAGCGACGAAAACAAATTACAATTCAACTTCCTGTTTCAGAAAAGTGAGCCGGCAAGCAGACGCACGAGGCGGCGGCCAAGCTCGAACGCACGCGCTCGTCCGACCGCCGGTTTTCCGCGGCCGGATTATCCGGCCTGGAGGAAAGCCAGCTTCACCAACCAGGTTCGCCAGCGCCCACGGACCCGAACGCGGGGGGGGGGGGGGGGGGCAGCCGCCGCTCGGACTCTCAGCACGCCTCCCCCTCCTCCAGGGAGGCCACACTTGGGGCGTCGGAGACCCCTCCCCTCCGGTCTCCACCCTCGAGCGGCGGAGAGCACCGCCCGAAAGGCGGGCGAGGCGCCTCCAGGTCCAGGCGCCGACCCTCACCTGGAGCAGGGGCGGGGCGCAGGTGTTCGGCTCTCCCTGCACCTCCTCCCACTCCAGCCCGGGACCCCGCCCTCCCATCCAGGATCGTCCCCACCCCCACCGAGGACTAAGGACCCCCACTTCCATTCCTACCCCCTGGCCTGCGCGCGTATCTCGCTCGCTCCCCTGGGTCTCCACCCATTCTCCATCTCCGGGAAGAGTTTCGGGCGCGCGCCCTCTCGCTACCAGTGAGCCCAGCAACCCTGGGAGACTCCGCCTGGGAGCTGGCCGGAGCCTCGGACCCGGGACCACCTCGCCACCCCACTGGGGGGGGGGGCCCGACCCTCCTCCGACCGGGGGGCCAAGTGCAGGGCTAGGGCAAAGTCCGGGTAGCACGTTTCAGTGCCCACGAGACAAGAGCACGAGGCTGCAGGGAGACCACAGGTGCACTCCCGCGGGCTGTTTTTGAGAAGTGTTAAGTGTTTCAGGAAAATGCTAACCTGAAATAGTTAATGTAAAGTTTACCTGACCTGCAAGGTACTGACTGCAATGCAGATTGTAATGCCTGCATTCGGCGTCTGTGGTTACCGTCGTTAGTGCCAGGGGCTGCCGGACACGGTAGGAAAGGTACAAGATCGGACACAGGGAAGCCGCGCTAAGAAGGGGCCAGCTGGGGCGCAAGGACGCGCCCGCCCTCCATCCACATCACCTGGACACAGTCCCACCGTGTACGGCGCGCAGTAACTCGTGGAGGAGGCGCTGTTCCGAGTTTTAGCAATGATTGGCTCCGTACCCCAGGTGCTATTACAGATTTCAGTTGTACCACGAGGCTTCATGGAGCCGCCCGGGCACTCCATTACAGCCAGCGCTCAAGGACCGCCGGCGCCTTAAGTCCAACTACTCACTCGGAAGGCGAAACAGGGCCATCGCACTGTGGGCGCTGTTTTTATAGAAATACCTATGCAAAGGCATTCTCTGTATCAACACCACTAAAGCCAAAGAAAATACGAACACACTGAGCTGACCTGAGAAAACATCTTTCTACTCAGTCCACACCTGATAATTTAATTTCAAAGCATAACTATTTTTAGGTTAAATTAATAATTCACTTTATAAGTTCTATTTAGTTTTACTTTTAAAGTCAGAGTGATTACTGTAGATAAAAGAAACTTAGGCAGTTTCATGTCTCTTCTATAAAATGACGATGATCATTTTAAAAACCCTCAACGTGGGTGGAGTGTAGTCGTCGTAGGTTCTCGAGTCTCCGGGTTCTCACGACCTCCATCCCAGTAGAAGATGAAAGTGAGGCCCAGAAATACTTCTGCGTCACTAGAGAGCACAGCCGTGCTCCTCGGTCAGTGCAGTATGACAGCCCAGTGAGGTAAGGTAACGGACCGGACAGAGCGTTCCAGGACAGGAAACCTGAGTTTCAGTTCCTCCACGTCGACAATTTACTGAACCACTAGGCCCTCAAGGGCTCTTAATCTAGAACTTATTAGTGAACCTATTTAGATTTCCAAGGAAGCACGTGAACTACTTTTATGACTGATGCAGCCAGAAGTTCAGAGAAAAACCACAGTATATATAAGTATGTTTTGTAAATATCTCCTAAACACGTTTTATTCAGTCAGCTGAGAATTGAAAAGGTAAATGAATGACTCTTACCTTCTACTTTAAGAATTTAAATATTTTGTGCTTCCACAGACAAATGGTTTTAAAATCCGTTTACCTGGTGTTACAACCAGCTCTCCGCACAGGCAGGGCTGTCAGCTAAGCTACAGGGGTTCGAAGTAAGGAGACAGAATCTTGCAAAAGCTCAAGCGATCAGCATGGAACAAAAGGGCCACAAAATGCCCACACCAGAAGAGACAGAAGCAGAGAAAGCCACCGACTCAAAGAATGTCCAGAAAGAGTTACAAACAACTGCGGAGAGACTGATCACAGTAGCCAGAAACCACGAGACTGCATATGGTGTGTGTGATCAATAATGACATGCACGACAGAATATCCAGCATATCAGTATCTCAAGCAATGGAAAAGAAATGGAAAAATGTCTATAGAATTTGTCTAGCTCTCAAAACCTAAGAGAAACTGTAAACGACATCTAAATAATATCTAAGTCAATCACCACTACAACCACCACGGGGGAGGCATATTGCGTACATAGGCATATATGATTCAAAATATTTCATACAAATGTTATAGACATACACACCGATACATGCTTACAAAAACACTGTAAAACCGCCCAGAACTTATCTATCAAAATGTAATGTATTTTATCTTTGGGTTTTATCTTAATGGACTTTAAACATTTATGTCTGTTTCAGTACCCTCATATGGGGATACTACCTATTTCAGAGACTTCTGGGAAGACTAATGATAAATCACCTGAAAGCAATCGCTAAGCCATGAAATACCATACGTGTTAGTTAACAGATTCAGCATCATTTTTATAACAGCCTAAAACTGTAAACAACCCAAATGTTCACCAATAAGCGATCCAATAAACACATTGTGGTTTCTCCACTACTCAGCAACAATATGGGTGACTCTCAAAATAATTAAGTTTAAAAGCCGAAATTAAAAAAAAAAAGAAAGAAAAATAGACTATACACGTACTGTATCATGTCACTTATACAAAATTCTGGAAAATGCCAACTAGTCTATGGTGCCAGCACCAGCTGCCTGGAAGACAAGGGGCGGCGACTGGTGGGCAGCTGGAGAGACCCGTGGGGGCACCAGGAACTTTGGGGGGAGATGAATGCATGTTCATTTACGTCCAAGGCGAGGATGGCTTCGTGAGGGTATACACGTGTCAAATTAAAGTATAGACTTTAAATATGTACAGTTTATTGTTTATCAAGTACGATCAATAGAGCTGTTCATTTTAAAGCTGATGGCAATGTATAAATTTGCATAGGTATCCAGTTGGTCTGCTCTATATAAAAAAAATAAAAACATACAGATGCTGATATTTTTCTTAAAGAAATAAACAACTTACTTTGCATTTCCAGCCATTGGTTGGTACTGATTTCATAACTGGTTGAAGACAAAAAGTATGATACCCTTTGTCACACGTATCACACACTAGCATCTTGCTATCTTCTCCCGATTGTCTAAAAAATAAGATAGCATTAATGATGCCTGATCTTTAAACTTATGTCTGTAACATAAGTAATCATCTAAAGACTCAGTCCTGGGGCCTGCCCAGCTCATAACACCTCAGTGTCTGTTTGGTCCGAGTGCAGATCACGACAGAGGCCACCCCTGTAGGACCTGACTGGCACGTCCCCAGAGTGCCCACCCTCAAGGACTCTCCTCACTGAATGCTAAGGCTGCTTCGTTCATTTGGGGCTTCCTGCAAAGAAGGAGAGGTTACAGCGAGAATGACTGACCCCAACCCTTCCTGGGTGTCTCTCACACTGCCCTTTCTCGGGAAGGAGCCGATCTAGGCACAGGGAGTTGGAGAGACCGTCATAATAAAAGGAGGCTCGAGCCTGGTATCAGCCCTGCCTTTGCACTTGGACGACAGGTTTTCTAGCTGTGTGACTCCTGAGTAATTCAGACTTGAGTTCTCTTCGTTTCTGATGTAAAGTGCCAGTAATTATCAAAGATTACTGTGAGAATTAAATACAATTCTGGCTGAAGAGCTTAGAATATTTATGTACTAAATAAATAGATTAAGAGCAATCATCTTATAATTATTAAGAACTGTACTTAAAAAAAAACCCTCTGCCTCGGTTCTTGGCTACTTGTGACTCACTCTCAGAGACTAAGAATCTAATTCGAGAGGAGGGGGAGGAAGACTGGGCGATGCAAGAGCAGGAGCCGGGGGAGGCCGCGCTGCGCAAAACCTGGGGGTGAACAGAAGTAAAAAGGAAGACGGGTTAGTCGGCCTCCACTTTTCTTCTTCAGCTTAACAAACTCTAGGTGTAAAATTGTGTATTTTATCTCCTTAGCTGCATGGAAAGATAGTGCAGGGAAAGCATTCTTTCTTCAAGTTCCCTCCCTCCCTCCCTCCCTCCCAAGAACCTAGGCACAGATACAAGGTTTGAAATCAGTGTTTACTAACTGATGTTTTCTTTGATTTTTACCAAAATGTAACAGCACATGGTCCTACTTATTCCATGTAATTCTGAGATACTGATGCTGATTGTTAGCAAATGGAATTATGAATAAAATGGAGTGATTATGGAGGTGGTGGACATAATTTCTACTGGCCACCAAAGTCCTCAGCTTGTAAATAATTTGAAGGCTGCTGCAGACACAGGTGAGGTCCCCCAGTTATCATGCTGATTAGTAGCATGAGGAACAAAACACACAGAAAAGATTGGAGAAGTGACCGAAGGATGGAACAGAACACTGAGGAATACCCCCACCACCACACGCGTGTACGTGCCACGGGGTGCTCGTCAGCTGCAGAGCGACCGGCATCTAGTGAGGGCGGCGACTGCCCTTCAGACAGACAACGGCTTTTTTAAACAACGGCCTTAGTGTGCTGTCCCTCCAGGGATGAGACCAGCTCGCCCTGGCAGCTACTTTCCGTAGCTAGCTCTGTCTCTCCTGCTAAACCCCCCAGTCTCCCCCAGAGGGAGCTGCTTTATTTTTCTAATACTTATTTTAAATTGTTAATGCCATTCATTTAAAAATTGTTAACAAATTTAAATTAGCTTTCTAGGCCACCAGGGAAATTCAAATTATTGCAATTAGTTTTTGTTTGGACTTTGAGTCAAAGCCATGTAAATGTTAATGCGCAGCTAGCATTTGTTTCTTCCATTAAGACCCGGTGCAGCCCTTGGAAGGGACACAGCTGCAGCTGAACAACCTTCACACGTCACACAGACCTTTCGCACCTAGGAACGGGGCTCTCTTGCACTCGATACACACCTGTGAGTTGAGATTAGAACTTACTTGCAGTTCTGGCACACCTTGCACTCGGGACATTGCCACCCTGCACGTTTTAACGGAGTAACCGCTATGTCCAGGCACATTCCGTGATAGTGCTGCCCACAAGTAGTACAAAAGAACTGATCTAAGAGGTCTCCCGGGCTGTCGCACACTGCACAGTTTGCATCTTCCTTTGCTATAATTAACGGTAAAACAATGAAATTGTTGTATAAGAATTTAGTATTTTTCTGACTTTACAGTTCAAAAATAACTTGAAGGGAACTTGCATGGTAAATCTTTCAGACACCTGAAGTTATCCACACCAAAGTGCTATCCAATCAGAATACAGTCTTGATAAAAACAAGGTAATGTATTTAATCTACATTTAATTACAGTAAGTATAATCATCTAGGTTTGCGATCCTCTGCGCCTAGCGTACCTGAGACCGCAGCGGTTCTCAGGTACCTTTACAGCCCTCAAACCAATGACAATCTGGCACCTAGTCAGTGCCTGATGCACGCTGCTGAAAAGAAGCAAACAGGAAAACACCGACTGAGAGATGTCTGCAGTATAAAAAGAGACAGTTTCTGTGGATGTTCAATGTTTTGAAATTAACAAAATCAGGTAAGAGGCAAAATTGAGAAATGTTAATATCAATTAGATTAAGATGCTTCTTAAGCATAAACAGACTAATTTTCACTTAAGTCAAATAAGGTTTTTAATACCAGAAAATATCGTGTGAAAAACATTTCAGATGGAAGCTACATATTCATACCCAATAACTTCATATACTACTTTAATATTCATTTCTATTAATTGCCAGTTGTTAAAAAGCATTATATTTTACATATTATAGACATCATCTATCCCTTAAATGTGATCAAAAGAAATGGCACATTTTAAGTCTTTTTACCACTAAAACAAAAAATAACTGTAAGAATAAACTGCCCTGCCAAGTACACAGTTAAATTCATGCATATTACAAAATGTGGAAAATAATGTTTTGTAAACCACACCAATTAGGTAAGCTGGATAATCATGGCTGTATCTGCCTCTTACTCGGGGTCTCAGCTAACTGGTTTGGTTAGCTGATTACACTAGGACTGTTTTCAATGACATAGGTAAAAACTCTTTTGTGTTTTGAAGGTCTGGTCAGTCAGTCCTCTCTGGCTATAAGCCCTTTCTTCCCTCCTTCCCAGTTAGGCTTCTCCCAGCGAGTCCTTCCCCTTATGCTGGAGTCAGCAACTTGGTGCCGTGGGCCAGAGAGCAGACTGGTGTGCAGACTTTCTGTATTTCTTTCAGAGTCCTTTTTAAATGGTAAAACCCACCTGTAGCTGGAGGGCACTTAACAAACAGGCCCTGGGATGACCTTGCCCCAAGGTGGACCCCTGTGGCCCCATACCCTTCCTGCAGCAGCAGCTAGAGGAACCAGGCTCCTTTGGAGACCCTCCCTTGCATGCACTGGGCAGCATTTACATCCCAGCCACGCCCACTGTAAGACTTCCCTTCCCCAGCTTCCAGGCCGGCCTCCCTCCAGATTCCTCCCTCAGTTCCCCTTGCCTCCTCCACCTTGTCCTCCAGGGCAGGCTTCGTCCTCCCTCCCTCTGAAAGCTGGCGTCTCTGTGAGCAGCTCCTAGTTCCTCCTTTTTTAATCCCTGTGGGCTCCTCTCTGTGATCACAGCACCTCAGTCCACAGCACCAGCCCCAGCTCCTTTCTAAACCCAACACATTACTTCCCAGTCTTCCTGGACCTCAACAGCCAGATGTTCCGAAGACACCCCCACAACCTTTCTAAAGCTCCTTTCTCAACCAGTGTTAGTACCACTGTTGGCCCTTTAACTGTCCCCTGACCCGACACACCCAGCAGACAGCAGCGTAACTCTCTGCAGCACCCCCTCCCCAATTTGGGCAGGGATTCCTCCTTGGCTCCCTGCCTGGGTCACTGCAGTGCCTCCAGAACGGCACCCCTGCACCTGGCCCGACCTCCTCCCCAAATCACCTCCTGCATACCCAGACTGGTTTTTCATCACTGTGACTCTCACTGTTCAGCCCTGCTTAGATGAAACTTCACCAATACTTCCTTTTTCACCAAAAAGAAAAAAAATTAAAACTTTCTAGTGAGAGGCAAAAGTAAAAAAACAAAAAACCCAAATGATTCCCAGGAGCGCCCCCTATTTCCTCGTCACAAAAAGCAGTGTGCCACACACGCAGCTCTCTGGTGTCCCAGCTCATGCGCGCACATCCTGTGCCCTCTACTTGGCACCTGGCTCTGGGCCGTGCCCCTGGCCCGTTCCAAACCTCCGCTCAAACTCGGTCCCCAAACAGGAAACATTACCACACCTAAACACCAAGGTAGCTGTTGACCATTCCTTTCTTCATATGCTTAGAAAGAACTGTTATTCGAGGGGATTAGGAACCCCCCAAAAACCCAGAATTATCTTTTAGAGGGCGGGCTTCTTGTAGGACAGGCTTCCCCTGTCCTAGGAACCCATGTGAATCAGTGCACCGACTGGCGTTGTTCTGAGAGGCTGCCTTCAGCCTCAGTGAATTCTTTTTGAAGACTCTTCCAATGCATTTGCCCGTTTCACAGAGGGTGACTGATGAGCGCACCTGCCCACACTTCTCTGACTGTTCAGCAGTTTTACACCAAAAACACAGGATCCCCCACCCTATTCACCCAATCTCACCTCAAGCAATTTTTTTGGCCCAGATGAAAAAGTCCTCAAAGGGAAACGTTTTGGAAGAGGTGAAACAATGTGGAAGAGGTGAAACACAAAATGGCAGAAGCACTAAAAGGCATCAAAATCAGCAAGTTCAAAAACTTTTTGGACTCAAAAAAAAACAAAACAACAACAAAAAAACCCTTTTTCAAGCTGTGGGAAAAACATCTGGATGGGTGCCCTGGAGGAAATGGAGAGTGCTGTGAAGTTGACTGAAGTTTGAACGTGGAAGAGGAAATACCCAACTTTTATACATAAACTCTGGATTCTGGGGTTCCCCCTCACACAACTGATTATAACCCAACACTGTGCTTCCTCGAAGGGCGGTGACCTTGCCCTTTTCAACTCTGCACCCTCACTGCCTTGCATGGACCAAGCCTGACTACATGCACATTTAAACTCATGGCTTGTTTCTCAAATCACTTCTAAATGGCTCTTTGATTGACACGTATTAGTTTAAAAGTGGAAATGTCGTAAATTAGTTCGTTTTTGATTGAAATAGCGTAATAGAGTGACTTTTTGCTAATATTTACTCAGTCAAGTTTGAATGTTTAAAAACTAATCTCAGATAGGTGCCTACTCTCAGAACACAGCGAAACCGGGGCAGATGCTGCATTCCGAACACCCGACACTCGGCTCGCCTTTCTGCCGGAATTTGCCGGCGGCACTGTCTGCACTGCTTCTGTGGGACTTGCTGGAGTTTGCTGTGCTGACACTTCGACCTGCCGTGGGGGCACCAGCCACAAGCAAAGCAAAGGAAACGCAGTCAGTCAAACCGAGACGTGCTGCATACATAAAACACCCCAGACTCCACAGACTTGGCCAGGGAAACCTGTCCAGTATCTCCACACTTCTTCCTGATTACCCGCAGACCTGGCGCTACTCTGCACACCCTGGAGACAGGGCTACGAGAGGAGTGGAAGGCCCGTCTGATGCTCCCGGGCATTTCCGGGGCTCTGCCCTGGCCTCCAGGGCAAAGCCCCTCTGCACCCAGATAATGGTGGTGCAGACCCCACCTTCACTCTGTAAAAGCTCCCAGCAATCCCTTCCTGGCCACACGGTCACACTGTTCCATGAGTATGAGCCACTGGTAATACACTAAGCAAAGAAAAACACCCAATGACACACTGGGTCCAAAACCGTCAACTACAAGAGATGTGAAAACAGTGCCAGAAAAACAGGACTACACGAAGCAACGGGGCTGGCTCCGCTGCTGCCCATCAGGAAGAAGGAACACGCAGAAATGCACAGCCGTGTGGAGGGCCTGCACGAGGAGATGAGAGCACTGGAGAGCGAAAGGGCCGTGTCTCATGCAAGTATATGGACACGGACACACGTGTGTGTCTGCAAACCACAGGGATACGAGGCTTGAAGCAGTAATCAAACAACTATGTGAGGTTTTCCTTGAAGCAGCGGGAGGGGCACTGGAAGTGGGGTGGAAGACCGCAGCTACAAACAGCCTGAGAGGGCGGCAGCAGGACCCAGGTCAGCGTGGCTCTAAAGGCCAGGCCCTCGACTCCTCACTGCCCTGGCTCTAGGGAAGCAGACAGTGCCCCACACAGGCAGGGACTGGAGAGGCTAAGTGATGCAGGGGGAACGAGGAAAGAGCAGGGGGAACGAGGAAAGAGCGGGAGAAGCAGGAGGAAACGCTGCAGACACGACCCCTTCCTGGGTGACAGTTGTGACAGGAGACGAGACGGAGGAGAAGACAAAAACAATGAGCTTAAATCAGAAGGGAGCTCATCCCAGACCCTCGCACCTGGCCACGCTGGAAGGTGAGACCACTGCTTAGTGAAGTCTGGAGGCACCCAGAACAAGTGAGCGGATACAAAGAAACAGCAGGGAGCGCCAAGGCACTGCCAGACAGCACCCGTTTGGGAGGGGCTCCCTCCAGCAGCGCAGCACTGCGTCACTCCGGCTGAGTCCTCGCCACCACAGGGGCAGTGCCCTGAGCAGGGTGATGGGCCTGGCACATGGGAGCTCCAGAATGAAAATGCAAATCACGGATGCAATCCAGAGAGGCTGGCCCACGGCACAGGCAGGAAGGTAAGAATGGAAGGTGAGGGGACTGGCAGAGTCGAGGGCACCAGAAAAGCAGCAGCACTGGGTGTCCAGAGATACAAGACAACCAGGAAACTAAGTGTGGAGCTGAAAGCTGGACTGAAGACAGAGAGAAAGCTGAGCAGTGACAGTAAATACACAGGGGAAGGGGAGGCAGAGAGCACTGCCCTGCTTCCACCCCACAGAGTCACCACAGACAGCCCTCCCTGGGTGTCCGGTCTGAGCTCACCTGGGTGTCTCTGCCACCCACCCTGCAGACACGGGTGCAGGCACAAGGACAGGCTGACTGTCCCACGGCCCTGTCAAGCCCCTCCCTCAGTGCTGCTCCACCTGCGTGGAATGTTCTGTCCTCTGATCCTGCAAGGCTGGCACTCAGCAGGGCAGCTCTCTCTGAGAGGCGAACCGCTCCTCTGGAGGCAAGTCTGACCACGTCTCCCGAAGGATGTTTCGTGTTGGCTGCCCAGACATGGTTCCTGGACACGCGCATCCCTGTGAGAGGAGTGCTGGCAGCGTGACCCACATTTGCCTGTGACACAGGGCACTGTGTGTGGCTTGAAGTCCTGGCCTGGCTCACAAACACTCTCTTTGTTGAGAGCTCTTTCTCAGGAGGTCTGTGTTTTCATTAGGTGTCTGTCAACTTGCACAAAAAAAATCTTAGTCCTGACTCAGCTAACCATTACTCTAGCACATTGCTCTACACTTAGGCAGAAGCACTGAGTATTACATTCAATGTACACATATAGCTTGAACCTCCACTAAGAGCTAAAATAACCACCTCTTTGTAAAGCAATTAATATAAATGAGGTACAATACTACACAATATCATAGGCTAGTGTCTCTTAACCCATACTTGTTAAAGACACAAAAAAGTTAAGCACTCTGTGCTGACACACAGCAGGGAAGCTAGAAAGGTTTTAGGAAGACTATTGCACAGTCCTGTATATTACTGCAACACATTCTACCCACGATATTCTCCAGGTCCTTGGATATTAAGACAGTGTTTACACTGTATTGTTCAAGATCACAAAGAAATAGAATTTACTCATTTGGGATTTGATTTTATGCCCCTGGCTCCTGTTGAGGGCTGTTACGAGAAACCTTCCTGCAGGATTTGCTTCCTGCGCCGCGAGGCAGCTCCTTTGGGACGGTTCTTCCCTGCCGTGTAGGTGTGCACACTGTTTCAGTGCCCAGTGCGTTCCTGTACATGACTACAGACCAAGCACCTCTCCGTGCTGACTGCTGGAAAGCTCTGGGCAAACCTGTGGCTTAGGGTGAAGAGTATGTATGTATTTGGGTATCTGCCTCACCATTACCTTCGTGGTTAGCCTATCCTTATGTTTCCATGGCCAAATCTCCTAGCTTATTTTTAGTTTTATTATGTCTTTTTATGCGTCTCCACAAGTCTACCTGGGGACAAGGCTCCGTACCCATGACCTCAGACCACCTTTTAATTTCACGTTGCCTGCATGAACCTCTCGCTATGTGCATGCTAAACGGCAGCAAATCACCTCACCTCCATTCTTACACTTCATTACCTTACGAAACGATTTATGATCTCTAACATATAAGTGAGGTCTACACTAACAGAACATAGTCACAGAGTAGTACTGCTGCTATGTAATAAATATCTAACATTAGAAACGTAGCCATAGGAAAGTTTACACAGTTTACTTGGCTCCAATGCTCAACAAAGTACAAAAGGCTGAGTAAAACTCAGATTCCCTGGCTGGTGTAGCTCAGTGGATTGAGCGCGGGCCTGCGAACCAGACAATCGCAGTTCGATTCCCAGTCAGGGCACATGCCAGGGTGGCAGGCAGGTTCCCTGCAGGCCAATTCCCAGCAGGGGACGCACGAAAGGCAACCATACATTGATGTTTCTCTCCCTCTCTCCTTCCCTTCCCCTCTAAAGATAAATAAATAAAATCTTTAAAAAAAAATCTTAAAAAAAAAAACCAAAAAATCTCAGATTCCTAAATACACACACAACTGTTTTATCCTACTGGCAAAATGCAACCCACCACCCAGGGCACAACCACTAACGACTGACGCTGCAGTCTGTGCACTTGTGAAATGATTCACCACACGAGGTCTTAATATAATGACCCCCGTAAGAGTGCCTGTGCATGGCCCTGGCTGGTGTGGCTCAGTGGCTTGAGCGCAGGCCTGTGAACTAAAGGGTCACTGGTTTTACTCCCTGGTCAGGGAACATGCATGGGTTTCGGGCCAGGTCCCCAGTAGGGGGTGCTTGAGAGGCAACCACACACTGATGTTTCTCTCCCTCTTTCTCCCCGCAGATTCAATGGTGTACAATCCAAAACAGTGTAAAACTTTGAATGCCTTATTAGCCTAAGTACAATCTGACATTTCAGTTTGCCTTACCTACAACTCATGTCTGTACAGTGATTAGGGGCAATATAATTTATACATGTAGACACAAAGTAATTTTAACTGAAAATAAAATTATGACACTAAACAAAAATAAAAAATAACAATCATGAAATCTAAGTGTACTTGTGAACTCTAACCCAGTTTCGGCCTGAGCTAACCAGATTTATGTTTCACAGAGATGGAGAAGGTAGGGAGACGGCCTGTGCTGACTTGCTGAGGAACAGGTGAAAGCTAACAACCAGGTTAAAAAGAGCAAATAAAGCATCACAGGGATTTCACAATGAGACTGGAAACTCGCTTTACTAGGGAAAAAGACCCCAAAGCGCAAGTGCTCATTGGAAATCTGTAGTAAGAAAAAGAGAAGAGTTCTGTTTAATGGTGAAGGGAGGAGGGAGGGACAATTTTCTGTAGCACATGAAGTTCAAACAGGTAAACCATATTTGCCTAACTGTACAACACTGCCGAGAAGAGAAAGAGAAAAAGCTCGAGGGCGGTCCTGGCTCGCCGCAGCAAAGGAGGCCGGCAGCAAAGGAGGCCGGCGGCAGCGCCGACAGAGGCCCACCGGGACGGCTGGACCAGCACAGCTGCCGGCTGGACCAGCACAGCTGCCGGGAGTCGAGAGTCGAGAAAGTCTCTGGTGATCCCACTGACAGTGCACACCTGACGTAACCTCTGAGTCAGCAATTTTCAACCTCGTTTGTCTCCTGGCACATAAACCCATCACTGAAACGCACCAAAAAAATATATTTGTTTGCCGAGCTGCTACATGAATAGGTGCTACACGAAATTTGACTCACACTGGACAGCCAGTGCTGCCTGCTGCCACGACCTTACTCGGCAGTCGAAGGGAAAAGAGGGCAGTGCCCCTGACCAGTCAGGTGTCATGTGTTTCATGCGCATTTGCAGCACAGGGGCTGAAAACCGAGGCCCCGAGCCAGCCCTCTCCTGATACCCTCCAGGCGGGTTTTGAGTGTGAACAGCACTGGACACTGTTTAACTTTTCCCATCAGCTACTACCTAGTACAAACTGAAACAACCTATCCTGAGTGCTTCTATCTTTCAATGATGGTTTGAAATGTTTCTTTCTAAATAAGGAAAAACTCGTAAACTACATTTGAATTTCTGAGGAAATAACTTTTTGGATTTAATTCAGTGACATTGCTGATAAGATTTCCCCCAAGGACTCTGGGAAAGATCCCTCAGAGTAATGAGATTATATAATAATACTGACCTTTTACTACAAGTAGAATAGCATTTAGGGAACTTAGGACATTTGTCTCATTAAGTGAGTGCTCAGATAGTGGGTAGGAGCATGTCTGCAGGGAACTCACATCTTTCAGGAGCTTGCTCGATGTGCTCTGGGCAGAGGAGGAGGAAGCGGCTGACGTCTTGGAAGGTGCCGGCCCCCACGGCACAAGGGTAATGGTACCTCTGGGCACATTTCTCTTCACAGCATTTGATAGTGGCTCCAAGGTGCTTACAAAATGCACATCGCTGCAGGGGCGAGAGGGAGAGACATCTCTTTACAAACCTGGCGAAGGAGCACTCAGATACGGGGCTGGGACGGTATGGAAAGCCTTTATACATCATTAGAAGAACTATCTGAATCAGCAGGATACCAAATAAAGGACCCGTTGAAAGTAATAAACCCTAAAATACTCGATTTGGTGCATGGTATAAAACAGATCCACCCTCCCATTTAAGTTTACAAAGTTAGTATTTCATTTTTTTCAACTGACTTTGTCAAAACATATAACTACGTTTTAAAAAAATCAGTAATATGGTAAAAAGGTAGGTTTTTATCTTAAGGTTATTTTAACAGTGTTTAAATCCCATCAATAAACAAATAAAAATGAATGTATAATTTCTATAGAATGTCATACTATCACCCTGCCTAGAAATAAATCAATATGAAGTAAACTAGCCAATCGTAGAATAAGTTAACGAAGGACAACTACATCACTGAAGCTGCCAGACCTACACATTTCACTTAATTAGTTTTAAGGTTCTTAGTAAAATGCTAGGCACGTGAAGAAAGTTTGGTCATGAGTGTCTCCTTTCTCCTCCCGACCCATTTCAATCTGCTCCTAACACTCTGCCAAGCAGCAAAAGCAAATAAGCCACACCGTGTCCCCTGCCCCCGCCCCCGCCCGCACCTGCAGGGCCAGGCCAGGGCGCTGGGTGTGCAGGAGTGGGTCCAGACCGCCTACAGAGCTCTCCTTCCCTACGCGCCTCTTCCTCGGGGTGGCCAGTTGAGAGTGCCCAGAGCCTGGCCTCTATGCTTGCTCTGGAGGCCACTTTCCTTGGGGAGCCTTGGTGGGGTGGCCTGTGCAGAGGAGGCCTAGCTGTCCGCGTCACAAGAACTTCTGCGTTCATGTTTACACCATCTGCATGGCGACTGATCTCACCGCATCCTGCTCTGAGGTCTGGAGCGGAGACCGTGGAGAGCCCTGTCTTTGCTTCTGTAGCACCAGGGCTGCTGCCTGTCCCTGACATGGGGAGGCTGTGTCTGTGCGTTCTCTGGGGACTCAATGAAAGTGACCTGTGGGGCAGGCGCACAAAAGGCACGGCTATAGCACCAAAAGCCACACAGGAGCCTCACAGACGGAGGGGCTGCCACCAGCACTGTGGGTGTCTTCCCGTGCTGGTGCACCAGCCCTGCATTCCAGCACGGGGGCCGGCCCACGCTGCACCAGTGCGAGAAAGCCCGCGTCTCTGTCTTTTGGTGTGTCCTCTACACACCTGGAGTGTGGCCAGCAGACCACTGCAGCCCCTAATGTAAATTGTCACACAAGCTCTATTCATGGCACTAGAATCACACATAAAGTCCACAAATCCAAACACTAATACCCATTTCAGTGCTTTTTTTGTACTCAAGGGGGTTACTACAGTCACTGATAAAGTGGAATAACCAACTTTTTGCGAGCTGGGTATGTGTTTAGTTTCGAACCTACCCAGGTATCTAAGTGACATTAACAGAACCCAGAGTTGACAACATTAACAAGACCTGGGTAGTCTGCGGATTCCTGAATCACAATGAACAGGCCGAGAAAATGTTGAAGCAGGAAAGTGCATTTTTAAGTCCAATCAATCACTGAAAAGTGTTCGTGTCAACTACTAATATATAATAATTTATGTCAAACTGTTAAAATCTAGAATCTCTGTTACTTTTACAGCATATGCCAAGTTGCACAGAATCTTTTGCACTAAAAATGATTCTGGCAAATAAAATACAAAAACTTTTACTTAAGCGCATAATAAGGAAACAAAATAATTTAAATTGATCCTCTTCCCAGTGTCTGTATCTTTTTAGAAACATCAACATGTTCTCTGAAGCACATTTGCAATGGAAAATATTACGTGACATTAGCTAAACTACTATAAGTTCTGGAATGTACTCAACACACTAATTTCCAATAACATAGAATGATATCAGGGAAGAAAGGAAGGAAATAAAATACAAACGGCATTCAAGCGAACGCCCCAGCCCATCTGTCACAGCTACGCAGTCACTGAAAGACGTTTGGCACTGAAAAAAAACGTACGCTTTATGTAGAGGCTGGAATATGTCTTTCTGAATCAAATAAAAAGCATTTGTAACATTGCAGAAAATACCAAAGAGTACATTTCCACAGGAAACTTCTCTAACAGCAGTACTCTCATGAACCATGTATTAGAAATCAAGCAAATCCTAAAGTAGGTAACAATTACAAAACTAATTAACATTTGGAGAAAGGAAGAAGGTAAGGTAAACAACCCTTAAATAGTATAACTAAACAACTTGTTTGAATCAATATTGAACACTCTTAAATAGTGGTTTTCCCACCTTCTTTAAATCACTAAAAATCGAGACGAGGAAGAGGAAGAACTACAGCATCTCTCGGCACTAGGCTAAGAACACAGATGGGGCAGAAACAGCTGTGAAACGCATCTCCAATAAATGAGCCCGGTGAAGAACATATAAAGAGCTCTTAAAGCCCTGGCTGGTGTGGCTCAGTGGATTGAGCGCGGGCGTGCGAACCAGACAATCGCAGTTCGATTCCCAGTCAGGGCACATACCGGGGTTGCAGGCTGGTTCCCTATAGGCCAGTTCCCAGCAGGGGACACATGAAAGGCAACCATACATTGATGTTTCTCTCCCTCTCTTCTTCCCTTCCCCTCTAAAGATAAATAAATAAAATCTTTAAAAAAAAAAGAGCTCTTACAACTCACTAGTAAAAAGCTGAATCAACTGGAAAAGGAGGGTTGGGCAAAAGGTTTGAACAGACACTTCACTGCAGACACACAGTGGCAGGCAGGTCCACCACACGGTCCATCTCAGCCACCAGAAAGCGCAAAACAAGCGCACGAGGAAACGTCACTAAAATGAACCACTGACGCTTAGAAACACAGATAGTGGCCGGGACCAGTGACAGTGGAGGAGAGCGGACGAGCCTCTGTGGAAAAGAACCCTGGAACTTCTGAGGACACCGTGAGACTAGTTTCCAAAGGCAAACGTGTGCTCTCACACAAAAAGACAATTCCAGTCCTAATTATTTACACAAGAAATGTGCAGACACCTGTCCCATCAGTCTTCGTAGTGGCTCTACAAACAAGAGCCAAGAACCCACCAACGGCTGGCGCGTACCCATCCTGCTGCACGTGCTGCACAGCTCCCCGTGTCCGTGCAGGAAACGCCAGACCGAGGCAGAGAAGCAGGTCTGCGCCTGCCGGGACCTGGCTGGGGGAGGGCCGACCTGCACTGGTGGTGAGAGAACACTGGGGGCGGAGGAAATCCACTCTCCTGACTGTGATGTTACATAACTGAGCATTTCTCAAAACATGCTCAACTATAACCTTCGAAGGGCCGAATTGTGTAAAGTGTACCTTAATAAAAGAATAACTTACACAGAAAAAAGTATTTATTAACTGGATAAAGGCAAGGAGGCTAGGATCAGAATAATGCTCTCAAAGATAAAATTTGTAAAATCTGAATAAGATGTACAACCTCACTACTAGAAGTCACTGGTGAATAACCAAAGCAGGCTGGCACGAAAAGACATTTGACCCTTGAAAGAAAGGAGCATGCCTGGCGAAGACCTGAGTTAAAAGGTTTTCAGCCAAGGACATTTCCACGGCAGAGTGGTAGTAGACCTCAAACAACAGATCAAGGTCAACAGTGGTAGGAAGGATGAGACGGAGGGGAAACCTCGAAAGGAGTGAGCCTCAGAGGAGAGCACGCCCAATGTGCATAAACTCCCCAACCTGCGCTGCTCCCGAGACAGACATTCACACAGAAACTCGAAGACTTCTGACGGCGTGGACAGCGGGGGTGATATAGTCGAAGTGCAAGTCCAGACGCCATAAGGGCCTCCCAGGAAAAAACTTGATAGTGAACAAAATAATATAGTTGTGTCCTGTGACCACAACCTCATCACCTAAGTGTTCAGTATACAACGAAACGTGCTATGATGTGTGTGTGTGTGTGTGTGTGTGTGTGCAAAAAATGGGACCCACAACAACAATAAAAAAAGTAATACAAAATGACCACAAGCAGAGTAACGGAACAGACCCGAAACCCAGCACAAAACCCACTGAAAATTCTACAAGCAGAAATTATAGTAACGTATATGAAAATTTTAGTGAGTGACCTTAACAAGATATTGGTTATTATAATTATAAACAAATGGTCAGCCCAGGCCAAATCATTCGGTTGGTTAGAAACTCAGTTCGTTACAGCCTTGTCCCAAACACCAGGGCTGCAGGTTCGATCCCCAGTCAGGGCACCTATAAGAATCAATCAACGTGTGCATGAGTAAGTGCAACAACAAACTGATGTTTCTCTCTCTGTCCCTTTGTCTCCCTCTATAAAAATCAATAAATAAAATTTAAAGACATAAATAGACAAATATAAACATATAAAAGAAATGGTAAATGACGTTGAAAATAAGTGAATCGTTTATGCACTCTAAGAAACTAAAAGTGAAATTATTGAAAAAGAAATTAACAGAACGCCAGCAGCCCGTGGAACAACATTACATGCAGCAATGGGCATGTGACTGGAGACGAGGAGCGACGTGACAGAAGAGACAGGAAATAAAGGTCAAACTTTTCACAAATTTGGTAGGAAAAAAGTCAACTTACATTTTCAAGAAGCTCAGCAAACCCCAAGCAGGAAGAATGCAAAGAAAATCATACCTTAGGCACAGCCTCGTCAGACTGCTGAAAACCAAAGACAGAGAGAAAATCCCGAGAGCTCCCAGGAAGCACGGGAACACCGCACACGCAGGACTGACGGCACTGCCGACACCGGACTGCTCACCAGAAACAGCCAAGAACATCAGCTACACATGAGAGAATAGAAACCCACCAGTGCACAACTCTACAGCAGGAAAGAGAAGAAAAAGTACAGTCCTACAATCCTCCCGGACGTAGACCTCCGCTTCCGGGGAACGGAAGGAGCCTTCCGGGGGAGCCTCCTTGTGCCCACACTCCTCCACACTAAGGACGGCTAC